TTGGTGAGCATGGAGATTGTCCATGCCACATTTGATTATGTATCGTTGTTTAGTTTTGAGTTGTATAAACTATCAGGGTTGTCCGGCTTACGTGTTGTGGTGCCGTGATTAGAGACACAGTTAATGATCGTATTTATGTTATGAGGTTATTCAGTATAGATATATGTCTTTTGCATTTACATGCAGGCAATGTTTTGGAAATGAATTAAGTAATTCAACTTGGTAAGGATAATGACGTCATAATTCAAAAGAAAAAGAATATTCCGCATTTTTAATTAAGCGTGGCTTAATACGATGGCATGTTAACAAACCGGGTATACACGGGGTGTTACAAGCAGGTTGCCATTGGAAGTGACGTTGGACACAAAGGTGAAAGCGAAGGTGAAAAAATGGAAATGGATCTGAACAGAAAGTGAATCTGAACAGACACTGCAAAAAAGACAACATTGAACCGTGTGCGTTTTCTACTTTTTTTTTTTTTTTTTTTTTATTTTTTATTTTTTATTGCTTTCCTTATTTTTCTTTAGGGCTTTTTTTAATTCTGATTTCTTTTTGGTATATTTTTCGTATAGTTTAATTTTTGATTTATTTTATAGTTTAGAATTTTTTAATATATAATTAACTTAGCTTAATTTATATTTAAAACAATTTCTAAGTACAATGTAATTAATTTATTAGGAGTTGTTACATGCATTGAATATAAACTGTATTATATTTATTAAAAATATTATTTAATATCAAAATGTGTCCTAACGTGTCGAAATCTAACATTTTTTAGAATTAACGTGTCGCTGTGTCGTGTCGTGTCCCGTGTCCGTGTCTGTGCAAGATAGGTGTAGGAGATAAAATTTATCTCTTATAATGCAATAAATATTAATCCAATTTATTCATGGATTTATCATTTCTCCTGCCACATCAAATAATCAGCAACACCAAAACTACTACGTTATTTTGAGTGTTGAGAGAATTAATTAAGGATGTTTTGATAAAATTTATATAAAAAAATCCTAAAATATTCTTTATTAATTCTATCAATTCTTGGAATGAGAGCATGTTTGGTGCATAGTATTTGATAAAGCATGATAGTATAAGACCTGATTAAATTTTATTACTATACAGCGTTTGGTATGGTATTGAAATGACATATTATTTGATAAAGCATGATAGTATAAGCAAGATAATAACCTCCAATATTTTAATAAATTAATATATTAAAAAAATTATTTTAATATATTAATATTGAAATGACATATTATTTCTTGAGTATTCTACTTGTAAGCAATACTACTACATCAACCTCTTATCAGGCCTAATCTCACCCCCTTAAGCATGATTAAGTTATATATCATTTTGATGTATTAAGGGATTCTGCCGTATAAGCTTATATTATACGATGGTCACATAAAACAACTGAAAATGTCATAATGTATAGTATAAGTTTATACTATCAAGCCTTATACATCACATCAAACAGGCCCTGATATAGTTTTGGGATTGTACAACTTATTAAGGGTAGGACTGTCATGCAGATAAATTTCAATAGGCGAAGTCTAAGCTCTATTTTCTGTCAGCAGAGGGCTCTTATGAAAAACAAAATTAAACATGGAAATAACAAGGAAAAATGCTAGACCAAGTGAACGCACTGTAGAGAAGGGGCTTATGGATGAGCATGTGTGAATTCCTTCAAAAAGACATTCAGGGGCTGTTTCATAGCGATCTTTGCAAGAAATACCTAGGCAAATTAGATAGGGATTTGAAGATGATAACGTTTGGTAGAAGGCTCACAAAAAATATGTCAGCCAAATGGATTACCCAGGAAACGTAAATCATGTGAAAAACTCAGCTGATTGCACTGTGCTAGATATCCACATCGTGGGTGGTAATTCGTGGTTTCCCGGAAAAGAAAAAAAAGAGCGCGAAAATATTGTCCAAAATGACCCACAAACATGTTGTATTCAACAGGAAGTCCTTCCAGTATGTAATCAGTTCTATCTTCGTTCGTAACTAGATTTCCTATGGCTTTTAGAGAATCACATAGACTTTTGATGAGAGACAAGTAATCTTTCGCAGATCTAGTTCCTTTCTTTATAGATCTGAGTTCTGAGAGTAAATGACGAGATCTGGACTTCATGACTCCATGAAATAGCTTGTGGATCTTATCCCAAGCTTCGTGAGCATACTTTACTCCAAGTATCTCGTTCACTACAGATTCAGAGATGGTAGATAAGAGCCAAGACAAAAGCATCGAGTCTTGTGTAAGCCATTGAACATACGCTGGATTTTGAATCTCATTCAATCGATCTTCTTCAGATTCATATTGGATATAAATCTTTGGATTCACAAGGTGGCGATGAAGTTGATGTGACGTTATAATCGGCTCAATTATCTGATTCTATAGCATATAATTGTTTTCTGTACGCTTCACTGTAACTTGATGATTGAAAAGAAGAGAAGCACAATTTTCCATTAGCGTTGTTCTCAGAGTTTGAGGCGGAAGACATAGTGAAGGACGAAGATGGATCAGGCCCTCAAAATGAGAGCTCTGATACCATATTTGTAACACTTCGTGTGCACCCGGTGTATTAACATTCATATGTTAGTGAGCGCAGCATGCTCAACTTAATTAATGCGAAAGCTAACTGAATAAATTTTCTCTTTTTCCTTATGTATTGCAACCCTTTTTTACTTCCATGGCCAAAATAAAACGGACAACATTTCCTCTGTATTTTGGACCACTGGGGATAATTCCCACTATGAAAATTTCAACCTGATTGACAGTTTAATATAACTCAGGCATACCACAACATAGATAAAACATATTGCCCAGTCATCCATGGCCTAGGCTATCTCATAATCACACTGTCTCAAAAAAGTGTCCATGATGTTACTATATTCGAGTTCTTGAAAGAAGCCATATATGCAAGAAGAGAGAGAGAGAGAGAGAGAGAGAGAGAGAAGATATTTTGGATCTGAATCTGTATTATGAAAAACTAAGTCTTACACAAAGCTACACTCTATCATTATATAGAGTGTGAGGATGCTGACTCAGCAGATGAGTCAGATCTAACAAACAAACAGAAAGCTAACTAAGCTATAACAGAAAGGAAGAAAATATCTGATACATGCATGTGTACAATAAATCAGTAGACTGCTAATTGCTACTACATCACAGAAAGTAAGCTACTACTTATCTAATAGTTGTTTCTAACCCAGTAAGTAGTTGGCTTTTCATATTCTTCACTAAATTATTGTTGGTAGAGTTGAAGTATTATTGAGATTAAATACGATGAATAAAATATATGCTTATATATATATATACATATGTTAATTTCGCGAATAATTATTTATACTTTTGCAATTAAGCTAATGAATGGTCTTTTGATATTACCACATTCAACTTCAACTATGAAGTGTTTGTTAGATTATTGAACGTACTAACTCAAATATTTGTTAACTTTTCATCTAATATATGTGTCACAAACACACACACCTCAGAGATTCAATTTAGAGGCAACTACAGAAAACATAGATATATTAGAATATCTCCAAAAAACATCTTACATGTTAATATGTCTTTTTATGGATAAATATAAAAACATATTACATTCTGATATTAAATGCTGACAGTTAGAGGTGGCAAAATGAGCTCGGTTCGACGGGTCGGGGGAGACAACACATTTTTCATATATATATATATATATATATATATATATATATATATATATATATATATATATATATATATATATATATACTGTCTAACAAATCTGTCCTTATGTTGCTAAGATAATTGGATTTGCTGTTGTAAATATTTAAAAAACAAGCATATAAGCAAAATTTCTTTTTTCTTCCCACAGAGTCATTTTGAGAAATATGGTGAGATAATGGATTTATACATGCTAGGTATTGTCCTCCCTTTGATAGTCATCCATGTAAAATCAATATGCAGTTACTATGCATTTATGTGTACTATGTAGATTTACATATAACACATTGTTGATTTTGTTGATTGCAGTTTATAGTTATACGACATGACTGCACGTTTATGCATGGTATATACATGCTTATTTATTTGACACTTTTATTTATAGATTGTTTATCATTTATTTTTAGCGGGAAGAAGGATCAAAAGTGTATTGCGGAATGAGTTTTATCATTTTTGCAAGTGCAGGCTGGGTCATCTTCATTATTACCTTGATGTCAAACACAACTTTTAAATTTTTTGTCTTCATGTATTGCGTGATTATCTGAATTGAATTGGCCATCGTCATATACTACATATATAAAAAGTTGGAGTTGTTATCAAAAAAAAAAAAAAAAAAAAATTGGAATTAGGTACCTCGTAGTGTTGATTTAAATAAAGTGCAGCGAAATACTTTTATGATTTGCGTTGACTTTCATGAGAATTTTTTTCTCATGGTTGCACGGGTAATATACTTATTAATTCCCAAATTTGAACCCCCGTAACCTTTCATTACAAACCAAAACTTTACTACCGCTCGCCTATTCTATTGTTGACGGTTCTAGAATTAAAGCGAAAATGTTGAATCACGAACAGTGTTTAAAGTCACTGGTGGAGAGCAAAAATGTTGAATCCCGTTGAAAGCAAACTCAACTGCTCGGGAAAACTGATTTGTCTAAATCCGAATTAACGGTGTCGTTTCAAGACGTAAATATGAGAGGCACAAACAAGAGGAAGTGGAAATGGAGATCGGAGCATAGTGGACGTTAAGGATCTCCATTTTAATCACTGAACTGTAATAATCATAATAAGAAGACATCACTTACACAAGACCAACTGAACACTACTAAAACTGTTCTTTCTCTTTTCCCCAATTGCAGATAAAGAAAAAATAGGGCTTTTTTTCACTAAAACCTTAATCCTAATTTTGAGGAAAAAGACGAGACGCAGACGGAGAACCAACATTCCGCGCAAGAAAAAGGCTATATAACAAGGATAATATTTTTCTTTTCATACAGAGGACTCGTTCAATAACAATAACCAGCAGCTTCTACCATATTTCTGCTGTTTTGGATAATAAAGACTCTGTAAGACACTAAACATTTATTATTACCCATTAAATACGCCTGCAAATCATATAACAAATTAGACTTAAGATTCCCATACAAAATGATCATATCTAAGCTTCAAAAATTGTAACTTAAAATATAAAACATGCAGGTTCATTAGCAAGTAGAGTACGAGTAACAATAAAAGAAGACTAACAAATTCTAATTCCTTCAGAAACATGACATAAACTCTTACGTTGTCTTGGACACCATTCTTCGTTATTATCTACAATGGCAACAAGAATCTCTGCATATCACATCTCATGCATTATATGGGTTCCCGCCAGCTGCTCCTCCTACATCCCTGTTCGGTGTGTCTCTATTGGGAGTATTATTTGACCATCCTGCATTTGGTGGAAACCCTCCCATGTTCTGATTTGGTGGCATCCCTCCTGTGTTGCCAGTGTAGTTATTCGGCATACCACCCATGGGACCATACCCAGCATTAGGAGGAGGGGGTCTGCCCATATTAGGAGGAGGGGCTCCACCCATGTTAGGGGGAGGATAACCACCTGCTGCATTGGGAGGACTATATCCGCCTGCATTTGGAGGGCCATAACCACCTGGGCCGCTCGGAGGGGGCCCACCCATGTTGCTTGGAGGAGCATACCCACCTGCATTAGGAGGGGCATATCCACCTGGGTTGCTGGGAGGAGGGGCATATCCACCTGGGTTGCTGGGAGGACCATAACCACCTGCATTGTTGGGAGGGAATCCACCTGCATTGTTGGGAGGGAATCCACCTGCATTGCTTGGAGGTGCACCAGCCATATTAGGGCCAGCATTTGGCATAGGAGGAGGCCTACCTTGCATGTCTCTGTTCACAATATTTTCCCTCCTCCTATCAAAGTTTCTTGACCTGTCAGCATTACGAGGCCTGTCATTGCGCCTGTTCCTCTCATTAGCACGAGCATTGTTCCTAACCCACTCCTCATGATACTTGGGATCATAAGGAACTGCTTGCCCATTTATAAAGGGCTCACCTGATAAGGAAAACAGAAAAGTCCACAAATCATGAGCTTATAGCCCTTCTGCAGCGAAAATAATATGACATGCTATGTTAATGTGACAAAAGCTTACATTCCAATCCCGATATAAAACAAAACCTGGAATTAATAACACGCTATGCTACCTAACAATATTCTAGGAGTCCTGAACATATTATTATTCCCTATATTGCTAAAGACACACAGTCAAGAATATTCATACCTCAGATATCGAATCCATATTAAAGACAAGAGAACAGAACAAGAGACCTTACCTCCATAATCCCTTTCCCTAACATTCAAATATGAATCAGGAAGGACCCACCGAACCCCGGGCAATTCTACAATTTCAAACAAAAAAAAAAAAAAGAGTGAAATCCTTACTAGTATGAAAAGATAAACATGAATCAAAGGAAGGTTTGAAACCATGTATACCTTTAATTTTGTAGGAAATCTCCTCAGATACAAGTGCCCCAAATGCAAAATAGTGTCTAGTTGAAACCGAATATATCTTCATCCTAGCTTCTTCTTCACTACAAAAAACACGAATCACGTATACCAAAGACACATTTACTTAGTATCTTATAACAGCAAATAACAATCATCTAATAACAGATCAAATAAAATAAAATAAAACACATAGTAGCAACAAGCAACAAATTAACTAAGATTAAGAGTAATTAATTATGATTAACGATTGTTAATGATTGTTATTACCTTCCGACAACCTTGGCCAAAGTTTTGATGTAGCTGTCGATGATTTCATCTCTGGTGGGATCGCCTTCGGGCTTCTCCACGACGACGAGCCAGTGCTCGAAGTCACACCCATCGAGCAAGATGGTTTCTTTGGGGGGTCTGTTGGACCAGTTGGGGTTGGGGTCATTGAGGGAGGACGACGTGGCGCGTGTGGAGAACAAGCGGAGGGAGGGGAAGATGTGGTGGCGTAGGGAGGGGGCGACGGCGGAGAGAGGGCGGAGGCGGCGGAGGAAAGAGAGGGCGGAGAGGGAGGGAGGTACGGTGGAGATGGAGCGAGAGAAGAAGGAAGATAAGGTTAGGGTTTTGGGGAAAACCCGAGAGAAGACCTGGGACGACATCGTTCTGAACGATGTTAGGGTTTAGGGTTTGGTGAAGCCAAGACGAAGGCGAAGAAAAAGAAGTGAGGGTGAAGAGAGTGAGAAATAAGAATTGAAAGGGGTTTAGGTTAGGCTTTACTTATAAAAAAAGATGCTTCTGGAATGCTGCCACGGGGTGGCGTGAAAATATCTATCTACCAGGGGTGTAAACGGGGAATAAATCTTTAATGTATAAGATAGTGTATTTGTTTAATTATTTTGTCAAATAAAAAATATTATATTTATCTTTTTTTAGTGTGATATTTTTTATACCACATGTTATAAACTAAATAGACAGATGCCCTGAGTTCAGAATATTTTATATACTAAAGATTTATTTATAAATAGACAGGATTGAGTTAGACTTTGACTTAAAGAGATCAAATTTGTTTAAAATATTTTAGGTTTGGTTTGACCCATTATTCTTATATAGATCGAAATTATAAGTTTGACCTGACTCATATTTAAAAATTAAAAGTCTTAGCCTAAGCCGGTTAGACATTCAATAATTTAAAAAAATAATTAAATATTATTACTTTATTGTTCAAAATTATTAAATTATTAATTAATTTATTTTATTTAAAATAAAAAATATAATATAGAATCGACCTGTAGGTTTATAGACCTGTCATGTAAAAGAAATACTATAATTTGCTTGTTAAATAGGCTTGTTTGAGATCTAAATATGTCTATTTGATAATATATAATAGGCCGAACTTGATCTGATATAGGTAGAGTGAAAGGCCCTTATTAAGCCGATTGACCCATTTATACCTCTATTATCTACGTTAATGGAATATCTTATCTTTTTTCCTTTTTATTTTTATTTTCTGTGCTTGTATAATTTCTTTATTCATTTAATCTCTAGATAAAAATAAAAAATCCTTTTAATTGGATTAGTAATCTGAAAATTTTTTTAAACACGAGTTTAGTAGTTATTTGATTCACTTGTTTTTTTTTTAAGATAGATATCTTGAAGCCTTGTTAGTAGAACAACAACTAAGCCTAGAAAGAAGGTTATTCTGGATAAGTTTGTTTTAAATTTTGATAAAATTGAATTTAAAAGATGGAAAAACAATCTCTTCTGTCACTGTAAACCAATAATCGGTTCCTACACAAACAAACATAGAGGGAAGATAGAGAGAAAAGTGACGAGGGAAAGTTAAAAAAGTGGGACTGACGTATGTTTTTGTGAGAGCAGGAAATGGTTACTATTGTACTGTAACATGAAAGATTGTTTTCCGTTAAAAGATTATGTTCTGCCTGAGGCAGATATGTCCGACCGAAGGTCGGGTCTTTGATGTTGGATCTAGGGCTTTCTCTCTAGATACACCTATGAACTAGGTATCTTGGGGACAGCTGATCACTACACACTATATGATGGCTTTAGCCAGAAGGGGTGTGTGTGTACTGTCGTGTCTTAAATGAAATAGGTTAGAGAGATCAGTCATACATGTGGTCTTTAGTTCCTATTTATAGACATTACCTCTGGGCTGATTCAGGTTGGGCTTCTCGCTATCGTGGGCCTTCCTCTGGTCCATAACAGTTGCCCCCCAGCTCGGTAGACTGAGTTTTCAGGTTGCCGGGATGCCCAAGTCGAGCTAATTGTTATGCTTTTACTCGGACATCGGTCACATGGCTGCTTTATTACTTCGGCCCCCCTATTTGGCCTCGAGAAGGGAAACTTTCCCTGGTTTCATCTGGGTTTACTTGCCGGGTTTAGATCGTGGCCTCTTTGGACTAGGAACTCGGCTGTTTACTTCGGCTGTGCCAAAAATGATTGCACTTAGCTGCCATCTGACGATTGCATTGAAGTGAGAAACGGTTTCCCTTCCTTCTAATGATTACCTTTCCACGTGCTTCCCTCCAACAGGCACAACGTTTGGCATCGTGCATTTTTTGTCGCCGTGGCATTTAATGCTCCTGCCGAAACGTCCCCCAACTGTCTTGTCCACCCTGCAATTACCGCAATGCCCCTGCCCTTTGGCTTTCGCGAGTTTAACTTTTCAATTTCACGTTTGCTCATATTACCACCCTCAATCCTCATTTCATACCATTTGTCTCGAATCGTCTGGTAGTCTTCAGAGCATTTTGCTTTCGCCATTCATCAGAGCATTCTCCCTCAACGTTTACTATCTCCCACGCTCGTCCATCGCCAGCTTCTTCGACACCCTTCCCCGCAGGTATTTTCTTTTACCCTGGCTTTCCCTTCTGGCATACTCTTCATTAACTTTTAATTTCGCCTACGGCTACTGGATTTGTAATGCCTTTCCTTATTTCAGACTTATTTACCTGCTTGTTCCTATGCATGTGTTTATCTGTATGTGTGATGCATTATATTGCTCTGCATGATTACATCTTCTGCTCTAGTCTTGCACCGTCTATACAAGCTTATCTGCTGTTTGTTCATTTCCTGCACACCCCGCTTTGACTAGTTTCTGATATGGGTGAGAGAAATTATACCATTCAAGGAAGATCCTCTTGCCCCCGCATCTTCGGTCGTGGTGATGAAATTGATGCCGAAGAGGAAGGACGACTTGCGGAGGAAGAGGAAAGGTTCATTCAGAGCCTACCGCCTGGTTCGAGGTACTGGTTGTATGGCAGACCTCGAACTGAGGAGGAAATGCAGGTTGCTTTGCTAGGCGACTATCGAGGTGGTGGCCATAAGGGGAGCCTTCTCATCTCGTTTTTCAGTCCGTGGTCGTAGGGGGTCTTCGAGGTAGGAGGGTTTCTTCTGGTCTTCCATCTGCTACTCGCACCCACCCAGATCCATCCCAACGGTGGGGCTTACGTTGTTGCCTTTGAACAACTCTGCGACTCATTGTCCCTTCCATGTACTGTTCCTTTGTTTTTGCATTTTTTTACTGTTTATACATCACGTACCGGCTCGGAACCTCCTGAACTTAAGGGGTGGAGCAGCATTCAAGGACGAGTTAGAAAACCTTTGTGAAAGCTGTTCTCTGTGTACAGTGATTCCTTTAAAGGCTTCAAAGCCTACTTTTTTAAAGTGGTGGCCGAGGTGGGAAAAAGACCATGGTTCATTGGTGATGATGGGGAACCAAAGTTTCCCCTGTATTGGACTCAGGATCATCACCAACGCAGGCCAGCTGACTTCAAACTGAGATTATCAACAGAGGATAAAGCTAATGTCGAGACCCTGCTGGCCCATGTGGGTTCCAAGGGCCATCTGAGCGCAGCTTCTCTAGTAGCTATATCTCATTCTACCCCAGAGTCTACCAGTATGCTTTGTTTTATTTAAATCTTTGCTGCTCGTGCTACTTTCATGTTACTGTTATATCTTATTTTTGTTTGCAGATTCCGACATGAATTTTGACGAAGAAGATGAAGGGCCTGGTCCGGAATATATTTTTGCGATAACAGGGCAAGCTTTTGCTCCATCTCCCCCCAGCTAAAAGGCCAAGGACTGTCAGCCCGGGTGCGGCCGCCTTCCCCTTGGGTGTGAATTATGGGGTCCCCATCCTGGATCTTTCCGACGACGAGGAGAGTATGGAGGGTGATAAAATTCCAGACCCCCAATCTCGGCTAGTGGGGGCGGAACGCACGCCGTCATTACTCTTCCTTGGGGCACCTCTGCTACCGCCGCTCTCTCAGTCGGACTGAGGAGGGGAGCGTTATGGGACTCAGGGGTAACAGCCGAGTTACGGGGTGTCGTGCGTCCTCCTCCCGCATTTTCCGGCTTCGGGATCATTTCAAGAGCTGAGATGGAAGAGCTCCAGAAGGCCGAGTTGTACACCTTCAAGGCTGCTTCCATGGTAAAACCATATTCCTTGCTGCTGGAAAAGCATTCCGAGACCATCGCCGAGCTAGACGAGCTCCGAGTGAGGCATTGTAAAGCTGTTCTTGTCGTTGAAGAACTAACAAACACTTCTGCTGAATTAAAGGCTTCTTTCGAGACCTCCCAGTTAGACCTGAAGTCTATTGCTGACGCCGTTGGTGTTACCCCTGGTAAGGATAACATTGTGAAGCAATTCAAAGACCAATCTGAAGCGCTGGCGGAAAGGGGTGTGAAGGTTGCTGAGCTGACTACGAAGATTAATAAGCTGAAGTCGGACCTCCAAAACTTGCAACAAGCTTATGATTTTAACCGGTCGGCTCTTCAGAAAGTCGCAGTCAGTGCCTTCAAAAATGGGGTCAACCAGGTAAGGTATTTTAATCCGGAATTTCCCCTGAGGCTCGACCAGCTTGACTGCTTCGGCTACATTCGTGGCGGGGTTTATTTCCCACCTTCTTCCATTCCAAGCCTGCTAGAAAGCAATACCGCACAGGGTGAGATGACTCCAAGGATAGAGGAAACTTGAGTCAATGCCGCTATAGAGGCAACTGGTGCCGAGTTTGAAGCTGAGGTGAAGGGGATCATTCAAAATGACGGCGCGGAATGAAGAGCCGGAATGCCGGTTTAACTTTGTAATTTTCCTGTTTTTTATTTATTTATTTATTTTTCGACTATTTTGAGAACCCCGCGTGTCCAAAAGCATGCTTAACTGTTATTGCAAATTTGACTTCATATTTTTGTTAATATGCGCGATTGATGTACATCGATATCTGTTGTTTAACCGACCTTTTTGTAAGGATGTTATGGAGATAAGGGCATCCCCTTAAACTCCCTCCTTAACTTAATAGGTCGGACTAGAAATCCAACCTTGCCCATAGGCAAGAGGGTTCAAATACCTCTGATTATTAGCCAGGCTAGAATTCCAAGTTGCCCGTAGGCTAGAGGGTTCAAATACCTGATTATTGGCCAGGCTAGAACTCCAATCTTGCTCGTAGGCAAGAGGGTTCAAATACCTCGACGTTGTTGGCCGGGTTAGAACTCCAATCTTGCCCGTAGGCAAGAGGGTTCAAATACCTCGACATTGTTGGCCGGGCTAGAACTCCAATCTTGCCTGTAGGCAAGAGGGTTCAAATACCTCGACGTTGTTGGTCGGGCTAGAACTCCAACCTTGCCCGTAGGCAAGAGGGTTCAAATACCTCGACGTTACTCTCGGAAATGAACATTTGGAAACTACTTTTGAATGCCTCATATTGTTGCATTTA